TGTTGGACTTTAGGTTGTCTGAAAGGTAAGGGGAGTAGAGGTGCTGATGCTGAGAGAAGCACAGCCACAGCCCAAGTGGTGGTTACCATCTGTAGGATTGGAAGTACCACGATGTTATGTCCTCTTGTTACTTTCAGGGAATTCCTTATTTGAACATTTCTGCAGCACTTCCAAATGTTATACCTACCTGTGACATGCATCCCACCTCCCAAAGCGTGGCACACTTGACACAGAATTCTGATGAATTCAATAAATTAGATTCTTTAAGACGAACGAACGAAGAAGCACGTAGAGTGGTACCCTTGCCCAACTCTAACAACTTCTGGTGCCTTCTACAGTGGACTGTTTCTTCTGCAGCACCACGGTTAGTCCCAAAGCAGAGGAACATCTTGTCCTCCATATCTGAAAACAGGCAGGACAGACACCAGGAGCAGAAATCTCAGTGAGAAAGGTCTTTTATCCAAGGCTGCAGTTTGAGCTCTGTTCCATACTGAGATTACAAACCTGTTTAGAAGCCCTGGTAACCTTGTAGCTATCAGTTCATAGGAACAGGTTCCCGTGCTGGCAAAGGAAGGGATCTCTGCCATCCAGCTGTGATGCTGTGCTAGAAGCCACTGGTGGTTGTTGCTGCTGAGGCTGTTTGGGAAGCGCTGTCACAGGGAAGAAGCTCTTCCTACCTCTGGGAGAGGGAATTAAACACAATTTGGAACTTAAGTATTTTTTTCTTCTTTTCTTTTTTTTCCCTGGGGTGAATTTAAATTTTATAACTCAGTTCTAGAGTAAAAATACAAAAATTTGTCAGTGAATCAACACCTGCTATTTTCAGAAGAGAACAAACAAGCGGCACAAATTAAATGTACCTGGGGTTTATATGGATGCATGGTGGTCACACACTGGCAATGTAGAGGTGGGATTTATGGCACATCATGCTCAGCACTCGGAGCAAGAGCTGTTGGAGCAACAACCATTCATGCTCTTCCCAACCTCAGCTGGGTTATACTTTTGTTCTCTAGGATTTTTAACTTCCAGTCTGTGAATTGGGTTACTTACTAATGAATTTCATTTAAATGACTTGCAAGTGAAATTGTGCTGCAGCGGGGCTCTTCCCCCGCCTTCCCTGATGGTACAAACTAATTGGTATTGACAAGATTACTCTGGTGCTTTATGTGTTTTTAATGGGGCTGGCCAGTACGGTTTCCTCTCCAGCAATTGAGCTTCCTTTCCTTTCAGTATGTTATAAGCTGTCTTCTATGATTCCCTCAGTTTTGGGCTTTTAAAGAAATTTTTGTTAAACGTGGAGGCAGCTGCTACCATGCTGCAATACTGTTTTGCTTTAGTCTTGCATTTCTGTGCTTATCATAGCACAGTGAGTGCTGCGCTGTGCACTTGGAAGGCTGTCTGTGTATCCGGATTCTGTTTTCTCCAGTGCAGTTGTGCAACTTTGTGTGATGTGAGTGTGTGTGTGTGTACGTTAATATATATATATTCTTTTAGAAGTCCAGAAAGTTGGCTTTCATTTGTGTCTTCCAGATTTCTTACGTAATAAAGACCTAAAACCAGAACCAAGGTTAGGAAATGGAGATTCCTCTGCCAATTAACTGAGAAAAGCTACTTCAGATAGAGCTTAGGATCACAGACAGGCACCTCGCTGGAGATCTCTGAGTACTGAGTGTGATCCTCCATGGCCCCGCATGCAGTGCTGTGATGATGCCCTGAGCTGTCTGGGTGTGATGCTGGGCATCCCTCTGACATGGCCTTCAGCAGTGCCAGGCTGGTTCATGCTTTGCAGCACCAGCCCAGCTGCAATTAGCCAACTGCAGGTGATGATGACCATTTTTAATGCTGTCTTGTGTGCGGGCCTCTTTTTTTTTTTTTTTTTTTTTTTTTTTTTACCATTTTCCTTCACTTGTCCATATTTGTTTCTCTTCTTGTGTTTGGTCTTCTTGACTCCAGTTGGTTGAGTCTTCGTGAATTGTGATAAATCTGAATTCAGTTTCTCTTAGATCCAAAAGCAGATGTTATTGCAGAAGTACTGGGCTGGTTTCTTTAAAAATCCCATGGATTGCAGTGAAAGTGTGATTACAAGAAGTAACTTCTGATTTTCTCTGTTTACGTTCCAAGCGTGGCAGTGGCAGAATCACCACTGGTTTTGTATATGCCTATTAACCAAATGAAAGGAAGGATTCAATGCAGTGATTAGTTTTCAATTTAGGCTTTTAAAGCTATTGTCTGATGCTTTTTGCAGCCTAGTTACTGAGGAGAACATCCAGGATTTAGTTATTTTTAATTCTGTTTTGATTGGGACACTCTGCAGATACTGAAGCCAGATGAAGGTGGGTCACTCGAGGAGAATTGAGGAGGAAAGATCTGTGTCCTTGGAAGGCCTTTGTAATTCACAGAGCACAGCGTTTAATGAGCAAATTTGTTATTAAAGCTCAAATAGCACAAAAGTCTCAGAAAGCAGTATAAACATTGCTGTCCTAAGAGGATTAGAAGAAAAATCAGAGCACGCAAGTGGAAACAGGGAGTGGCAGTGGCTCAGCTCCTGCAGAAGATGATGAGCGTTTCCAGCTGGTTTGTCTTGGTAGCACACCATTATGACTTGGTGATGACCACAGCCTAGATGCTAATAGCACGAGTTGCCATTTTGGTTTTGTTTTTAGGGCTAGCAGGTGTGCGGAGAGCTACTGGTGGGTTTGTCTGTGCAGTGCGGGCAGAGCTGGCCAGAGTGTGCTGCCAACACTGGGATCTGGCAGGATGCACTTCTTCCTTAAGTTGTATTTCTTCCTAGGTTGAGAGGAGTAGTGCAGTCAAACTGAAGGTGTTCAGAAGAAAACACCAACAAAAACAAAAACCACAAAATCCTGCTTTCTCTGAGAGGAGGGATCTAAATGCAGCAGCTGATACTGTCTGCACAGGTGTCTTATCAGCCTCAAGGGCATTTAGTGGGTTATTTTTAATTGTTGGGTAGTGTGGCTGTTACTACACCTGGTCACCTGGTTAAATCACTGTAGCAGGTCAGCCTATAAAGAGAGTGAGTCTAAAATCAATACATTACAGCTGTCACCTGCTTTATTTCAAGGTACGTGACAAATAACAAACTCCAATAGGATAAATTGGGAAGGAAAAATCTGCTGACAAGGCAGAGTTCAGTGCTTAGCACTGGGCTCTGAAGAAGGACGTCCCAGTGTTGTCCATTCCATTGTCATTTCAAGTGCTCTTTAAAATCAGAGCCACAGCAGATAAGGAGGAATGTAGCAGAGTCAGGGAGCTCTTGGTGTGCTTGCTTCTCCCAGCTTCTCCCATGTTCTTGCGTAGTTCAGCTGGAAGGCACAGGTGAGGAGACTGGGCACCCAGCCTGGCCATGAGGTGTGTGGGCAGTTTGAGCAGTGGGCACTGAAGAAGGCCTTTCTTCATTGAAAGTGTTTGTGCAGTTGCTATTTGATTTATGTTTGACATGTTCCTTTGCAAGTGAAACAACCTGAAGGACATGTTGTGTGGGAGCTCTCCTCCATTGTGCTTGGGACACAGACCTGACACTGATTTAACCTGTTTTTGGATGAGGAAGGCAGATACTGTTTTTTTTTCTTTTTTTTAAGGAAAACTCCAGTTATTGGCAGATAACATTTGTTTATGGGATTTGCTGAGAGAGCCCACAAAGCCTTTTCTTCCGTGCTGCCCTGCAGCCCTTGCTGCAGGAAGAACACTGTGACCAGCCCCACGTGGGCCAGTGTGCCCCTTGGCAAGGGCAGCTCTCTTCTCCCAGTGTACATAGCTTCTGTCCTGCCAGCACAGCCAAGCAAAGGAAAATGAGCATGTGTGCAAATTCTTTCAATTCCCAGCATATTCACATTCTTCAGCATCCTCTGCAGCAGCTCCTTGTGCTGTTAGGTTCTGCCTGCCCTGACTGTGGGTTCAGCCATAGGTTTGTAATCAGCTGTTTCCTACTGATTGAGTTTGAGAATGGCACTTGAGAACAGTGTTAGTCACGAGCGCTGAAGGTTCTTTACTTGCTGTAAAGGCCTTTGAGTAGCTTGGAGATGTTTTGTTTAATCTAAAACCAGACGGATAACGCTTTATTAGTCACCCATGTCCTTCTGTCCCTCTTTCTGCTCTTTGAGTGGGTGATGAAATTATTTCCTAACAAGAAAGGTAGTGTGCAAGTGCTTGTATGGTGAGCAGCCATGCATAAATGTTGGTGTGAGTAAAAATAGTTTAGTGGTGCTACATGGAAATGGTTACAGCCCTGCGTGGAGTCCACACACACACTTGGATGTGGAAAAGTGTTTGCCTGTACATACCTATTTTATTGTAGGATGCATGAAACAATTACCAGGGGAATTTAAAGAAAACAATGAGAGTGTTATGATAACATGGAAGGTTTTGAACTATATCCTTCTGTTTTGAAAGATGGAAAGATTTCTTGCAAGATTTCTGTTCTGTGCATATTGCCAGCTTTGGGCAATTGCTGGCTCAGGCACTGAGCTCACTGCAGAGCTGTGGGCCGTCTGGTGCCTGGGCACACCTGTGGCCATAAACCTGATTGCCCAGCACAGGATGTGGTAGGAAAACAGATTGGATTTTTATTTGGGGCTTTCAGGGTGTTTAAATGTCGGTTGCTGAAGTTTATTTCTGGCATGGGCAAAAGATCTTGGGAGCTGCCTGCTCTGCCTGGTTAGCATCCCACAGTCTTTTCTGGAAAGTTAAGGCAAATCCAGATGTGATGGTTTTGATACAGGTGGTGGTTTGTGCTCCTGATTGGGTGCAGTACCCTGGAGGACTGATGGTGGTGGTGCTCATTGACCAGGCAGTGCTCAGAGGTGGGTGCTGCAGGCTCCCCACAGGGCACTGTATGATGGGGCTCTGCAGGTGCAGACAGAACACGAGTTTGGTGCTAGGAGCAGTGGGGTAGGCTGTGCTGATGTTGAACTGTGTTAATGCTGCTGTTTTCAGAATAATAAATATTATTTTTTCCTATTTTTGTCTCCTGTTTCTTTCAGTATCGCCCCTCTGTGGCAAAAGACACCTGAAAGGAAAACTTCTGCATATCAATGCACTGCCAATGGTAAGTACCTTTTTAACTGAGTTAGTGGTGTGGTTTCTTCTTGCAAATACACTGTAGGCCCTCTTCTGCTGCAGACTATTTTCAGAGTGACTGTGGTGGTGGTGTTTTTTCCAGTACACAAATTGATTTTTTTTTTTCTTCGTAAGAAACATCTAGAGCTTTATTCTGTTTGACAGAATATTGAAGTTGTTTCTCCTTTACCCTGTGGAAAGTAGGGCAGCGTGTTAGTCTTGAAGCAAGGAGTGTGACTTGACAATGACATAGCTCATCCTGCTGGTAGCTGGTTTTGCTTCCTCTTTTGGCCAAAAGCCTGTTCTGGGCAAGTTGTAGGTGAGACGAGTGCTCTGTTGACCCCCTTGGGGGTGCTCTCTGCTTCTTATTTCAATGCTAACAGCATCTCCTATTACAAATGTACATAGTGCCAGGTGTATTTTGCTTCAGTGCATTTGACAGAGGAAGACCAGTGAAGTTAAAGATCTCTCTAGAAGTAGTCTTGCTTGGTGGGATCTTCTTACTCCCATCTCTGGAATATTACTGAATGTTTTGGATGGCTGGAAGGTGATATTTGCAAACTGTCATGATGGTGTATTTCTGCATTTTAATAGTTGTGCAGGTGGAAGGCAGAGGTGAGCTCTGAAGAAGACTGGAACTTTATCTGTGACTTTGATTAGATTCACAGTCTCCTTTCAGCAGTTCTGAGTCTTACATTATCACATTGAGCTGTGTTACGGAAGTGTCAAATGCAGCACTGGACTTGAGAACTAAATACAGGAAATGTTAGCCTGCATTTCAGGCATCTCTAGATCATTACGCTCAGTGCTAAAAGGATGGTGTTTCTAATCACAAGATGTGAAACTCAGTTTGGGATTTGAGAGCTGAGTTGATTTGTGTGGGCACGTGGGTCTAAAGAGTATGTAGATCAGTTGTAATCTCACTAACACCTTTACAACTCTGCTTTGTCCAGTGAAAAAAGTGGCAGTTTGAGAGAGTTTGGGTGTAACTGATTACTGGGAAATGCAGTCAGTGACCCTGTGGACTCTGGGACATCAGAGCATGTAATACAGCATGTGCTTGGTACCAAGCAAAGACAACTCAGGGATCAGATGATCTACGCAAGAGTTTATGCCATTTAATACCCTGATGTTTAAGCTCAAACTTTGCAGGTATCAACTGCGCTTTATCTTTGCTTGGGATGAATTTCAGCTGTAGGGAACAGAGTTGTGGAGTGAGAAGATGCCAGTTGTACCTGGTCACGTAGCCTGGTATTTTAATTGACTGAAAGTGAAACCAGCAGTGCCCTCGGACTCTTCTGTTACTGCTGAGTTTTCACTGTTGCTGTTGACCTTTTCCCAACAGAAGGCTTCTCTGATTTCTTTTTATTTTGTATTAGTTGTGCGTGGTTTTAGTTATGACTTGAAATTCAGGTCTGTGTTACTGCTTCTCTTAAAAACGTGACTCATTCCATATTAACCTAGTCCTTATACTTCATAAAATTTTAAAGTACTCAGAGACTGTATTTGAAATGTTGCTGCGTTTTGCCCTAATTTTCCCTCTACAAATTATGTTAGAAATTCAGAATTGTACTCTCTCAAGGGCATGCTTGTTGTTACAGGGATCGTAAAACATACTCAACTGTAGTGTGTAGCGAAGTGAAATAGTTTCTACTTTTGTTTTTTCTGTTTTAAAAGCTGCTTTTACTATAAGGTGGCATATTTCATTCCTCCAGAGATTTCTAAACACTTATTCATCTCTCGATTAATGAAACACTTTGAATGTAAATTTTGGTGCTAAGCTAGACACCATCATCATCCCAGAAGTAATCGTAGTAAAATACAACTTTCATGGGTTTTTATTATGTTATTGTTCATTTTGATGTGTGCAGACAAAGAGTGGGACAGGGGCTGACCTGCAGAAAGCAGTTTGTGCTCTTCTCACAGCATTGGTTTCATTTGACTACCTGTGTTCAATATGTGTTCTTCAATCAGAAATACATTTTTGATTCCCGTGAGAAATGGTACGAGCATTTTGATCAGTCTGCTAATCATGACTGTTAGTTCCATTTCTTGAGAGTCAAAAAAAAGTCCAGCACTAAAATGCAGAAGTTGTACATCCTCTTTTGTTTTTTCTTTGTTTCATTTTAAAGGTGAATAAAAGATGATGTTAATTTTTTTGTATCAGATATGTTGTGTTAACACATAAACAGGGTACAATATTAGTTAATTCTTAAAAACATACTGGAATTTTTGGCAATTTTTGTAAAATCATGTATTTATATTGTGTTCAAGCCTTTTAAAATGGAGTATGGCTATGGTTAGTTGTGCAAATTGGCCTCTTAAAAGGAAGATGTGACAACTTAACAAAAAAAGGCTTTGTGAGGAAGGCAGATTGGTGCATAATGCAACGTTTTCTTGGATTTCAGAGGTTAATTTAGAGGCTGCTAATGGGGTTCCTCAGGTCACAAGGGTTAACGAATGTGTTGGAAATAAAAAAGAAAGTCCTGGTCCTTTGGCCTAAAGGCAAGATGGCATCAGATTTTCCATAAAAGGTTTAGCAAATTATTATTATTTCTTTTTGCTGCGTGATGGAAAAGCTAGCTTACCCAAGAGGTATTTTCTGTCCTCACCATGCAGTAAGTTTTGGAGGCAGGGCAGTTTGCCTTGCTTTCTTTTTTTCCTTTCTTTGCGTATGTGTGGGCACGTGTACGTATAAATACATGGAGCTATGTATGAGTATTTTTGTTTATATTCATATGTATGTACTGGTATGTATATGTATGTCTATTTAATTTGAATAGAATGGTTCGGTTGGAAGGGGATTGTCAAAGCTTGTCTACTCCAGCAGCCTAAAGAAGTCCACAGAAACTAGAAAGCTACTGAAAACTGGGAAGCATTTGGTTTTACCGTTGTATGGCAGCTTGCTGTGATGGGTTTAATTCCATAGGAACGGTAGAGCAGCTGTTCTTATGTGCAAGAGACTTGTTCAGGAGAAGAGCTTTGCAGGCACCGAGACTGACGGTGGGAAGTTCCATGAGTGCAACACTTGAGCGTAATTAACCTGACAGGCTTTGCCCAGAAACAGCAAGAGTGGTTGGAGGATGGGCAGGAGCTGCACTCCCTCTGAAGAAAATGCATCCAGTGATGGGATTAGAAGATATCTGCAAAAACCTCCTAAGATCGTGACAGATCTTGCTCTTAGAGCCTTTCTGTGGTGCTGTCTGTAGAGTCTTCCTGAGATCTTTCTGCTCCTTTAAGGCAGCAGAGGAGTGAGTGAATGTAAATTTCTGGCAGTCCTTTTGCTTAAGGCACCCAAGGGCAGCAGGAGATTGTGCCACTAACCTCAGGGGCCCACAGGGAAGTGTGGTGCAAAGGGAAGTGAAGCATTACTGGTAGTTGGCCTGGGTCGGTTTGGCAGGTTTGGATCAAGTCATGGGAGTGGTAATAGGTGTGAGTGCTGTGCTAGCTGGAGCTGCGTGTTGTGTCAAAATCACAAGCAAATGGTACAGCTGAAGTGTGGTTTTTCTTACGTTAAAAATAGGGGCCCTTGCTTTCAAGGGGATTTGAAACTTGGAAGTCCTTAAGATATTGGTGAATAGTTGCTTTAAAATAAATAGCTCTACAAGACTAAGGCTCTTATCCTTCAAATGCATGCGTGTATGCGTGCATGTAACTTCAGGTGTAGGAATGGTTCTTTTCAGATGTAAGTGAGAAATACTTCTGTGTGTAAAGCTAACCAAGCTTGAAAGTGTTTTCAGTGGTAGAGCCTACAAATGCTCATGAAATTTACTGCTGAAGTTTTTGGCTGTACAGCTGATGGAGTACACCTTTAAAAGGAAATTATCTATGTGTGTGTTTGTAGCAGTTTTTGAACTAGTCTAAACTGAGTGATGACATGAAATTTTGGGCTGTTCTGCTCCTTCTAAAATCAATGGATGCTATTATCAACAAAGAAAGGTGGAGTGCAGTGGTTTTCTTGTCTGATAATTGGTTACAGCTGAAAAAAGATATTTCACAGTGTTCATCCATAAATTCTCTTTATTGGATCAGCATGAATAAGCTGACATAGTGGTATATGTGTTGAAGAGGAAGTGCTGGTAATATGATATAGAGGAAGTATTGACTGCATTATGAGAGGGTGAGTACTGTGATAAGAATTAAAAGTTTATATACTGCTGCATTCTGAGACATTTGTGGAGGGGTTTTTAATTATATATACATATATTTACAAAGAACAAATAAAAGCCACTAGCAGTCTCTCTCTCTGTTTCATAGGGAAAGCACCGCTTGCCTTTATTCTACTGCCAGTTAAAGTTTACTTACTGAATGATTCAGCTGAAGAGGAAACCACCGTCCTTAAAAATTACAAGAAGTGGTGGCTCTCTTGTGAAGCCTCATTTGTCGGAGAACTTTCTCTGCTGATCCTGTAGGCATTTTACAGTTCAGAAATAAGCTTTGACTAAGAATTCTCGGCAGAATCATAAATATGTAATTATGTAAGCAGGCAGGATATGTAGCCCCTGGCAGGTGCCCAGTGCAGTGAATCACAAGAGCAGAGGGAACCGGGCCAGCATCAGGCTAGAGGAACGTCCTCTGTAATCGGATGAGGGCCACTGCAGTTTCTTTCCTATTGCCATTCCTGGTTGTTAAATCATAAATGTACCCAAAAGCAGTCTGCCTTTGCTGCTGTAGTTTGTCTCTTGTTACTGTTCTTGACTATTCTTTGTTGTCCTCTCCCTCTACCTCCCCGGCGTTGGGTTTTTCTTTGTTTGTACTACTTTCCACTGCTTTTGGTTCTTGATTTAATAGCAGTAGTAGCGCAGCTAGCATCAGATTATATCCGACTTGATCGGCGTGCCATCTGTTTTAGAGGGGAGGAAGATCTTGTGTTTCTGCTGTGGGTTTGCTGCCATATGCCAGCGGTGAAGTTGTGCAGCCTGAAGTGACCCTTTTCCTACTCTGTGACTGATTGTAGGGAAGAATTGGAAATGTAGTGTTAAACGTTCC